TGGGGGTGGGTTGGGGGTGGGTGGGAGTTCACAATATTTATTTTTTCATTTGGTAACTGGGGAGAGGGACGGGGGGGTATTTATTTAGGAAGGAGGTGTGGTCTCCAGCCCTCTAAGGCTGGGGATGGTGATCAGCCCCAACAAAGATGAAAGGGAAGTTTTAGAGTTGCAGTTGGGGGATGGGGTTTGAAGAAAGTTGGAAGTGGGGAGGGGTGGAACTCTAATGGGGTTGGGAGCACCTGGTCTCAGAAATGAACAAAGCTGAGTGCTGATGTGCTGCAGGGCAAGGAACTGGGAATGTGTGAGTAGGATATGAGGCTCCATGGGCCGGGGTTCTGTTTTTTCTGTATCAATTTCTTAAACTAAAATAAAATAATAAAGGGGGGAGGAGGCTCATCTCATGACCTCTGCCATCTACATCCTTCACAAGCTCTGCATTTCGTATTTCAGTGTTTGGGTCAGTGTTTATTGTATAAATAAATGGTAATTTATTGGACCCCATGTGTGGCTTTCTGTGCCTTTCAGTGTCCCTCCTTGAGCACTGACTCCTAGCAGAGGCCCCAGGGCCTCAGTGTTTGGCTGTTTCTGCCTGCTGCTTGCCTCTCTTGGAACCTGTCCCCAGGGAGCAGGTCTGGGGAACAACCCCCTCAGTCTCCTAACTGCCCACCCTCTGAGCCTGAGCACCTTCATCCATAAAACCGAGAGAACCGTGGGGACCAAATAGGAACTGTGAGGGTGCACCTTGTCAACCTGCAAAATTCTCTTTGAACACGAGGCATTATTAATATCACTGCACCATTGCCCCCTGCCTTCAGGGTGGGTGTCCTGGTCCTTGTTCTCTGTGTGTCAGCCCTGGCGACCTCGTCACATCCCTGACAATGTCTGCGTTCAACTCTTGTCTGTCACTTTCTCCTTCTTTGTTTCCGTCACCTGAATGAATCTTTTGTCCTGTAGAAAGCCAAGAGAAAAAGGTATGATTGACTCCTAAGTGTGAAAGGAGGGCGGAAGTGGTGCCTTCTAAGGACAAGCTGGGTGCCCTGACTGGGAGAGAAAGATACAGGGAGGGAGAGACCCAGAGACGCGATCAAAGCTGAACCAGCTGCTTGGATTGGTGGGACAAAGGGAGGGGGAGGAGCCTGGATGCTGAGAAAGTTTGTGGGGAAAGTTGAGCCAAGAGAGGAGCCGGGCGGTGGCTGGAGCAGGCGGCGGGCGGGAGAGCCCGACCCGATTTCCCTGCTGCTCCCCTTGTGACCTGGTAAGTGGGCAAGTGAAGCCGAGGCTGGGGCCAGTGGAAGGACCCTTGAGTTTATGGGAGGTGACTTGAGGGGTTCATAGAGAAAACCCCAGAGGGGGCCAACAAAGAGCTGGCGACAGACTGAGCAGTCAGTCACCAACGCTGGAGAGGACAGGGCTGGATCCAAGGTACTGGAAAGAGAGATATGGATGGAAGGAAATAAAAAACTCTGGATAGGAGAGTCATGGTTGGATCCTGGGGGCTGTGCTGGGGAGGGGAATGGGGGGGTGACACCAGAGGGGGCAGGCCTCTGGGTAGCAAGTGTGGGCTCACCCCTTCGTCAGGGAAGGGGGCTGTGAGGGCTTGTGGGAGGGGCCTTGGTCCGTGACTGTGGATTGCAATCTGAATGGGCGGGCCCAGACTCCCAGTTGCTTAGGAAGCTCAGTCCAGGGAAGGAACTCTGAAGCTCAGTGTTTGTGTCTTTCTCTGTATCTTTGTGTCTCAGAGTCTCTCTCTCTCTCTCTCTCTCTCATCTCTATCTCTGTCTATCTCTCTATCTCTCTCTCTCTTCTCTCTCTCCTCTCTCTCTCTCTCTCTCTCTCTCTCTCTCTATATATATATATATATCTCCCCACTCTCCATCCCCACCCTCTCAATCTTCTCTGTGCACTGATGGGGTTGGAAAATGGGATGGGGGGATGTCCAGGGATCTTGGCTTCATAAGTAACCCCACATCTCTCCCAAACCCTTTTGCACATTGGGGTCTGCCCTGTTCTGAGAGACGTGGAAAAGACATGCCTGAGTATATGTTGCAATGGCTCTTACTTATTACAAAGTCACCCCTGTATGTCTTTTCTCCCTTTCTCCTGCCTGGGTTCATCGACCTGTGTCCTGTCTGATTCTCATTCCCTCCTTATGGCTTCCCCTCCTAGCCTCAGAACGGGGCTCTTCATCCCCATGTATCACAGACAGAGGCTCAGGAGGAAGATGGGGGCCCAGCAATACCCTGACCTGACTGTCATAATGAGCTGATGAACTGATAGGTCATATCTTTCTGGCTGGCTGTTTCATTCATGATCTGGGTCTCTGTCTTTCTCTCCTTTCCTTCTAAATCCCTGAGGCTCACGGAGAACTGGGGGTGGGAATTGGAGACAAGAAAGAGGCTGGCAGTAGAAGGAGCAGTTGTGGGCCATGTAGAAGAGTCTGGGTGTAGAGAGGACCCCCAGCCCACTCCTCCTCCCTGAGTTAGGTCTCAGCTGCAGTGGGAGGAGAGAAGGCTCTACCCTATCCTTAAACTCCCTCCTTCCCCCCTCATTTCCCTTCTAGACGCTGACAGAGGCAAAAATCTGCTAACTCAGGGGGCAGACTCAACCAGGGCTGCGAGTAGACCTGGGGAATGACCCCCCGATCTCCAAACAGTGCCTTCCGTGGCCGCACGGCTGCCTCAAGCTGTCTCTGTCTTGGTTCCTGGCCCTGGCTCTGTCCTTCTCTGGCATCACCCCTCCCTGTTCCACATGGGCCCTCTGTCTCCTACCAGGACGATGCGGCTCTGGGGGCCTCGGAACCTGGGGGTGGCTCTGGGAGTCTTCATGACCATTGGATTTGCCCTCCAGTTCTGGGGGGGACCCTTCCAGAGGAGGTGAGTTCCCACCTTGTACTAACTCCTGATAGATGCCGCTCACTTGCTCCTCCCCAACCCACCTGGGGCTGTGACTTGGAGTCTCAGAGGAGGCTCTGTGCCCTCTGTCCTTTCTCCACAAAAAGCCCATTCACTTGCTGCTGAGGGACAGGACATTTCCCCTCCTATCTCTTCTCAGGCCAACTGAGCTGCAGCTCCGACAGCCCTGGGCCATAGCCCCTCGACCAGCTGTTCCGTCCTGCCCACCCCGGCAGCACCTCGTGTTCCTGAAGACGCATAAATCCGGGAGCAGCTCTGTGCTGAGCTTGCTTCATCGCTATGGGGACCGGCACGGGCTGCGCTTTGCCCTTCCCGCCCGCTACCAGTTCGGCTACCCAAGGCTTTTCCAGGCCTCTCGGGTCAAAGGCTACCACCCACAGGGTGGCGGCACCCAGCTCCCCTTCCACATCCTCTGTCACCACATGAGGTTCAACCTGAAAGAGGTGAGGGGTGGAGTGGGGGTGGGTGGCACGGGAAAGAGATGGGCTCAGGCCTGTGGCCAAGACCACCGGGGGGGGGGCCAGGCCTGGGGGCTCCTCAAGCATCACCTCACCCAAAAAGTTGGACATGGGATTTCCTGTTGCCCTCTCCCCAGGTGTCCCTTCCCCAGCAGTTTCTGGGGGCCAGAGTCCTCTCTCCCATCTGGTGTTTGCCCCAGTCTCTTTCCTTGACCAGTTTATTCCCCTGGTGTCAGTAACCTGCCAACTCTGACTCCCCAAGCTCTCCCTCCAGGTGTCCCTTGCCTTTCCTGGTCTCCCTTCCACTGTCACTACCAGGGCCCCTGCTCCACCATGCCTCTGACTTGTCTTCCTCTCACTCCCCTTGCCATGTCTCCCACAGTCTGAGGATCAGCTATATGTCAGGCCCTAGACTGAGCCCAACAGAATAGTTGGGTGGAGGCCCAATTCTGACCCCCCCAGGAGCCTCAGTTCCAACAGGGGAGACAAGCACACACACTCACGTGCTCATACAGATGCACCAGGAACCCAAGAGCTCTTGTAGAAAGAAAATCAATGTGTGAATGAAAATGTACAGGGAAGGAATTAATCTTTATTAAGTATTTACTGAGTGCTAGGTACTAATCTTACCACCACCTTGCCAGGAAGGCATTATAAGTTTATCCATTGCTCGTATGAGGAGATAAGAGTCTCAGAGAGGCTCAGTGACTAGCCTCCTTTAACAGATAGAAAGTGGCAGAGTGAGAACTTGAACCCAGGTCCATTTACTCCAAAGTCAAGTCTCCTCCATGGCATGTGTATGTGTGTTTGTATTTGGAATTGTGGGAGAGTATTCATCAAAAGAAATGGGGCTTTCTGGAGAGGTGGGTTTTAAGAAGGGAAAGGGTGGACATGGCTTTGTAGTAAAGGCAACATCAGGCATTCTTATAGGGAGCAAATCAACAGTAAAGACATGGTGATACATGTGCATGTGTGGGTAAGAGGGGGAGTGTGTTTGCTGGTGGTAGAACTTCAGCGGAAGCTGCAAAGATGCCCATATTGAAGCTGGACCCAGAGACAGCAGCCAAGGAATATGAGCGTGATCTAATGGGCAGCAAGGGGCCACTGTTGGGAGTGAGGTGATGACAGTGACCTTTGAGGTAGGTTTCTCCGGAGGCTAGGATGATGACATTCATTGCTACCACCATTCATTGAATACCTACCAAATTCCAGGCACTCCCATATTCTTCCAGGTAAGTGTTCACCCACATTTATAGATGGAGGAATGAAGGCTCTGACGAATTCAACAGCTGCCCAAAGCCACACAATCAGTAAGTGGCAGAAACAGGATTTTATTCCAGGTCCATCTGATGCCAAAGCCCGTTCTCTTCACTGTTCCACTCTGTCTTCGAAGAGACAGACAGTTCACAGGCTCTGTCCTTTGGGCATGCCATATTTGTGGAGCAGATCAGAGAACATAATGACAAGGAGAGGTCAGATTCAATGATGGAAGTCACTTTTAGAGGCAGAAGCCCTTCAGGGAGTCCAGTAGCTGCATTCTGTTGTGGATCAGCCTGTAGGGCCATGTGAGCATAGGGCTCAGCCTAATCCCCACCTTCCTTCTTGCTGAGCAGTGCAATCACATGCCCAGCCCTCAGGGCAGCACCCTGCCAAATGGCCTCCCCAGAGCCCAGTCCAGGGGTATCTTTTCTTTCCAAGATGTCCAGCAGCCCCAGAAATGTGCTTCAGGCATCCTGAGCCTGGCCTGCGCACCTGATGCCATACCTGAGGCAGGACTATTGTTGCTTGCCCCCTCCTCACCCTTTGCTGCCAGTGTCGCCCTTCCTCCTGCCCTGGGGAGGCCTTAAGCCAGTTCCTCTTTTGGAGCTGTGACCAAGCGTCCAAGGGTAGGCACTCAATAGATTTTGTTGGAGAAGTGAGTACAAATTTTGATTCCTAGAGGTTTTGCTGACCAAGGCAGAAAGGCCTGAGGAAATTAAGGCTCCCCGGGAGCTTCCCACGCTCCAGGTTTCTTCATATCCTTTATCTTATGTATCCTTCATAATCGCCTGGGAAGGTATGGTTATTTCCATTTTGCAGTGACAAAATTGAGTCTCAGAGATGTTCAATAACTTGCCCAAGACCATGCAGATAGTGAGGGAAGCTGGGGGTTCCCAGCAGAGCTGTGAGTAGGTTTGAAAGGCAGAGATCAGCAGGCCCTTGGCTTGGACTTATTTTCTTCCTATGGCTAGTCTTCTCTCCTCTGCAGGTACTTCAGGTCATGCCTTCCGACAGCTTCTTCTTTTCCATTGTCCGAGACCCGGCAGCTCTGGCCCGCTCTGCCTTCTCCTACTATAAATCCACCTCATCGGCCTTCCGCAAGGCACCATCCTTGGCTGCCTTCCTGGCCAATCCTCGAGCCTTCTACCGGCCTGGGGCCCGTGGGGACCACTATGCCCGAAACTTATTATGGTTTGATTTTGGCCTCCCCTTCCCCCCAGAGATGAGGGCCAAAAGAGGTAATTCTCACCCCCCCAGGGACCCCAAACCCCCACAGCTGCATGTCTTGCCTTCTGGCACTGGCCCTCGAGCCCCCACCCTAGGTCCCAATGCTCTCTTCCATCCTGTTTTCACTGTTGCTGGTGATCATGGCCAGACATCCAGTCCTGCCTCTTTAGATTTGGGGTCTTCGTCCTTCATCCAGTGGGGCCTGGCCTGGCTGGATTCCATCTTTGACCTGGTTTTGGTGGCCGAGTACTTTGATGAGTCATTAGTTCTGCTGGCAGATGCCCTGTGCTGGGGTCTGGATGACGTAGTGGGCTTCATGCACAATGCCCAGGCTGGAGGGGAGCAGGGCCTCAGAGCTGTTGGTAATGGTGGACTGACTGCTGAGGATCGGCAGCTGACTGCACGGGCCCGAGCCTGGAACAACTTGGACTGGGCTCTCTATGTCCACTTCAACCGCAGTCTGTGGGCACGGATAGAGCAATATGGACAGAGCCGGCTGGAGAGTGCTGTGGCCGAGCTCCGGGCTCGCCGGGTGGCCATGGCTAAACGTTGTCTGGTAGGGGGTGAGGCTTCAGACCCTAAATACATCAGTGACCGTCGGTTCCGCCCCTTCCAGTTTGGGTCATCTAAGGTTTTGGGTTACATACTTCGGAGTGGACTGAGCCCCCAAGACCAGGAGGAGTGTGAACGCCTGGCTACCCCTGAGCTACAATACAAGGACAAGCTGGATGCCAAGCAATTCCCCCCTACAGTCTCACTGCCCCTCAAGACTTCTAGGCTACTCTCCCCATAGGCATCAGGCTACAGATTTAGGCTGAAGAGCAGCTAAGTTAGAAGGGCGCATGTGATGAGTGCGGGTCAGCCAGATTTGATTTCTGCTTCCCTCGAAGGGATGGAACTGCCCGGATGCAGGCCCCAATTAGTCTTTCTGGCTTTTGCCTCGGAGTCCCAGTCGTTGGGCTCCCAGTAGCGCCTCCCTCCCCACCCATTTTGCCCCTTCCCCTTTCCAGACCCAAGGCAGGTCCGTGCAGGGCTCTCCAGAGCTCCCTGGAGGAGCAAAACATGGAGTGAGCAAGAGAAAGTTTGGGACCCGGTGAGTTAGAATGATACGTCCATTTCTCTACGAAATATGTTATTGGGCTATACTTATTTCCCTATGAAATGTTTGTTGAACAAATAAATAATTTGAAACTTCTACTTGATTTATGTAGGGCGGAAAAGGGAGGGATGGAGAATCTTCCTGGGAGAAGCGGGATTGGAGGGGGTTCCTTTACTATTTCTTCCCGAGGAAGTCCGTCTGTAGCCTCTCCCGCATTCCTCTCGCGCCAGCCTAAGCGCAGCCGGACCCCGCCCCCTCCCCCACGGTTGGGGCACCCAGATTCCGGGGCCTCGGAGGCCACGCCCCTTCCCTTCCGCTTCCGGTTTCTCGCCAGTCATTCGGCTCCGCACCCCGGTCCCGTCCCCGCCGGGTCTTGGTTCCGGGTTCGTTGCCCCGGTTCCCGGACCGGGCTGGGCTCTTGGGCCGCCCCGGCCGCGCGCAGCACTCCTCCGGTGTCAGGACTCACTGGACGCACCCCCGGGGGCCTCCCTTGTCCTCCGCGGGTTCCGCCGGGGCTGGTCTCCGGTCCCGGCCCACTTCGCCCCACTCCCGGCCCCCGGCTGCCCCGTCTTCGCCTCCCCATGGAGTCCCAGTGCGATTACTCGATGTACTTCCCGGCCGTGCCGCTGCCGCCGCGCGCGGAGCTGGCGGGGGACCCCGGCCGGTACCGGGCGCTGCCCCGGCGCAACCATCTGTACTTGGGGGAGACTGTTCGCTTCCTGCTGGTGCTGCGCTGCCGAGGCGGCGCGGCGTCTGGCGCCGGGGGCGGCCCGGGCTTGGGCTCTCGAGGAGCCTGGGCAGAACTGGCAACTGCCCTGGCCGCCCTGGCCTCGGTCAGCGCTGGAGGTGGGGCACCAGGGGGCGGTGGCTCCGGCGACCAGGACCCAGAACTCCCAGGGGGAGGGGATCCTGGAGGTGGAGGGTTGTTCCGAGGCTGCAGTCCCCTTCTTACCCACGGCCCAGGCCCTGCTACCTCAGAGGGAGCGACCACGGTGAGGAACTTGTGTTGACACGGCAAAGGGCGGAGGGGCGGCTTGCTGGGTGCCAAAGACAGCATGGGAGACGGACGCTGGGGGCCTAAGGCAGGAGGCAGACGACCGAGGAAGAGAGGGGAGGGCACAAAGGACTGCATGGATTGCAGATCAGAAAGGGAATGGCCGCAGGCTGCCTTTTTGACCCTTCCTGACCTCTTCACCCCTTTCACAACCCCAGCTGCCTGTGGAGGAACCGATTGTGTCCACAGATGAGGTCATCTTCCCACTCACTGTTTCACTGGATAGACTGCCCCCAGGGACACCTAAGGCCAAGGTAAGACTGGCAAAGGGTGGTGCGGTTGTTCCAAATTCAGACACCGTTTCAAGTCTTGGCTGTCTGTTAATTCTCTTGACTGTGGTCCTGTGTCCCCTGTACCCAGATTGTAGTGACCGTGTGGAAGCGGGAAGTTGAGGCACCAGAGGTCAGAGATCAAGGCTACCTGCGCTTGCTGCAGACACGGTCTCCTGGGGAGACTTTCCGGGGCGAGCAGAGTGCTTTCAAGGCCCAAGGTGGGAAGGAGAATGCAGAGGGGAAGGGCTAGTCTTGGATTTTAGGGACAGAGTGAAGGGGTGATATTGGAAAGTGCCTGCTGGGGGAGAAGAGGAAGACTAGAACTGCGGGTTGGAGGTGAGGTCTGCACCCAGACCATCATTTCTTGTCTCCGTCTTCTCCCGCAGTGAGCACCCTGCTGACTCTGCTGCCCCCTCCGGTTCTGAAATGCCGGCAGTTCACTGTGGCTGGAAAACACTTGACTGTGCTCAAGGGTGAGCAGATTGGCTGGCTCAAGTCTTGGGTAGCAGCAAGGGAATGGATTAGGTGGCAGTTACTCTGGGCAGGCTGGTGGGGGTAGGTCTGTTTCTTTCTGGGTAAAGGTGGGGCCCTAGGGGTCCAGCTACTCTGAGCTGAGCTGGTTACTTCTGACAGTGCTGAACAGCTCCTCCCAGGAGGAAATCTCCATCTGGGATATCCGAATCCTCCCTAACTTCAATGCCAGTTATCTACCTGTCATGCCTGATGGCTCTGTGCTGCTGGTGGACAATGTCTGGTGAGATCCTGGGCAGGGCTGTGAAGTGGTAGGCATGGGGGCAGGGGCCAAGCTCTGGCATGGGGAGATCATGCCCTGTCTTCCTCTCTTCCGAACTAGTCACCAGTCTGGGGAAGTCTCTATGGGCTCCTTCTGCCGGCTCCCTGGTACCTCTGGCTGCTTCCCCTGCCCACTTAGTGCCCTGGAGGAACACAACTTCCTGTTTCAGCTGAGAGGGAGTGAGCAGCCCCCTCCTGGGGCCAAGGAGGTGAGCATGAAAGGAAAAAGGATAACAAAGAGTAGTGGGAGGGAAAAACCAGGGGGTTGACTAAAAATGGGAGGGGGACTCAAATACCTGTGAAGTCTCCCATCCTTTGTCCCTCCTGCAGGGCCTAGAAGTTCCCCTGATTGCTGTGGTTCAGTGGTCTACTCCGAAGCTGCCCTTCACCCAGAGCATCTACACACACTACCGGTGAGTGTATGGGCTCCCCTGCCAGGCACCATCCCCTTGACCTCTGTTGCCTGACATACACATCCAGCTTCCCTCTCTCACTGCTCCTAGCCTGCCCAGCGTCCGCCTAGACCGCCCCTGCTTTGTGATGACTGCTTCTTGTGAGTCTCCTGTTCGGACCTATGAGCGTTTCACTGTCACCTACACGCTGCTCAACAATCTCCAAGACTTCCTTGCCGTGAGGCTCGTGTGGACCCCAGAGCATGCACAGGCTGGTAGGTCAGCTGCCAGGCTGGGACCTTGTCCCAAGGGAGGAGAGGGGAAAGGAAGAAGTCATGGAGGTAGGACCATGAAAAAGCTCAAACCTGGTGCCAGCCCCACCACAATGGGTGACTTGCGGCAGGCAGCTTCAGCTCTGTACCTGGGTGATCTCCAGTGTCACAGATGGAGAGTTTAGAGAGGCACTGGAACAGAGTGATTTCAAGGGCAGAGACACTGGAGCTATGCTCTCTGGTATGAGTTCTACCTTTCTCATTTACTAGCTGCGTGACCTTGGGTAAGTTACTTAAACTGTCTGGGTCTCAGAATCCTCATCTCTGAAAAAGGGCAAATACCTCATGGGGTTGTTATGCAAATTAATGAGTTAGTATGTGTGAAGTGTTAGAACAGAGCTCAGCACACAGTATTGGCTATTGTTATCTATAACACAGGACAAAAGAGAACATTTACGCAGTTTACTTCACAGAGTGGTTTTGAGGGTCAAATGAGACTGTGTTCGTGGTGGCCCTCTGGGAACTGAGGAATGCTGTACAGTGTTTACTGGTGCCTGTTTCTGCCCCCAGGAAAGCAGCTGTGTGAGGAGGAGCACCGGGCCATGCAGGCAGCCCTGGACTCGATTGTCTGCCACACACCCCTCAACAACCTTGGCTTTTCCCGGAAGGGCAGTGCGCTCACCTTCAGTGTGGCCTTCCAGGCTCTGAGGACAGGGCTCTTTGAGGTAGGCTGGGGAGGGTCTGGGCTGTGCCTAGCTTCTATGGATGAAATATAATGGGTGGCACTAAAAGGTTGGGCAGAGGGAAGGTGGAATTTAGAACCAACATCAGTCTGTCAGATGCGGAAGCTAAATTGAAAGATCTGGGCCCTGGAAGCTGAGCTGGGCTGCTCATGTGTGTCTTCCCATCTCAGCTGAGCCAGCACATGAAGCTGAAGCTGCAGTTCACTGCCAGTGTGTCCCACCCTCCGCCCGAGGCCCGGCCCCTCTCTCGCAAGAGCAGCCCTAGCAGCCCTGCCGTCCGGGACTTGGTGGAGAGGCACCAGGCTAGCCTGGGCCGCTCTCAGTCCTTCTCCCACCAACAGCCTTCTCGCAGCCACCTCATGAGGTACTGAACTAGGGGAGGCATGGCATTGGACCGGGAGAGGCTGGAACCAGAGAAGGGGCAGGGAGGGGTGCTGGGTCTGAACAGAGCCCACAGCCTCTGCCTCCTCCCAGGTCGGGCAGTGTGATGGAGCGCAGGGCCATCACACCCCCTGTGGCCTCCCCTGTCGGCCGCCCCCTCTATCTGCCCCCGGACAAGGCTGTGCTCTCTCTGGACAAGATTGCCAAGCGCGAGTGCAAGGTCCTGGTGGTGGAGCCTGTCAAGTAGCACCATGCCGGCCCTGCTAACCTCATACACTCCAGAAACTGCAGGCCTCCAAGGGGGTCCTCGCTCCCAGGCCGTGGTGCCCTGGGATGCCTCCCACCTTGGGTGAAGAGGCCCAGCAGAGCTGCCTGTCTTGTGTCTGCTGATGAGGGATGGGGGAAGAAGCTGGGAAGTGGATAGGTATTGCTGCAGCATGAAGCCAACAGTATTTCCCCGAGTCCCTGCTGGGGGGGCTGGCCCCACCCGTAGGCCAGAGCAAAGGCCTCCAAGAGCTCCCTTGGCCCTGTCCTTTACCCTGGTTCTAAGTTTACAAAGTATTTTCCTCATTCCTATTAAGTTCTTTCCCACCTTTGACATTCCCTCCCACCCACCCACAGGGCTGAGATTAGAGGGTGGTGATGGTAAAGGGACCCCGACAATGACTCTCCTGTCTCAGGGGTCGGGGAAATAGCTAGGTGGCCTCCTTTTGCCCCTCATGTTTACGTTTGCAGCCCGAAGCACTTTAATTTGTATTTCTTTTTTTGTCTGTTTCTGTAACTTATTCTCCAACCCTGCTTCCCACTGAAATAAGACTATTAAAGGCCTGTTCAGGAGGGAGAAGAATGACTGGTGTTTGTGTGTTGATGGATGGAGCAGAGACCACAGGAGCTCAGGATGATTGCCTTCAACATGCAAACAGCTCCCCTCCGCTCCCCTCCCATTTTTTTCTGATTGCCTGCCTGCCCCCACTGCAGCCCCCTCCCCCCATACACACATCCATGGGCCTGGGAACATCAGACTCATGTTTATTAGGAGGGAGGGAGGGAAGAGGGAATTCCCCTTGCCCACCTTCTCCTCAACATAGTGCAAAGTTCCCAAGCCTTTGCTCTCCAGGTGAGTGGGGTTGGTGGGTGAGCAGAAGGCCTTAGTTCTAGCACCAAGCCAAGGAAGAGGTGAAGAACGTTTGTGCCTCTTTCATCAGAGGCCCATGGGCCCAATCCACTTCGACCCTTGCCATCTGGCAGGCTCAGACGTCAATGGGCTCCCGGCCTCGGTTCTGCCTCTTCACCACAAATACCCTCTGTCCTGACACGGTCACCAGCAGCGTGTGTTCTCCAAAGACCACTGGAGGAGAGACACACCTTCCCCCACCCCAGGAGAGGGAAGGGAGCACAGAGTTAGGCTCTGGTACAACGGCCTCCACAGGATCACCCGCAAATTGGCTGCAATCAAAAGCCAAAGAAATGCTATGGTTCAAGGTCCAGAGACTTGAAGATAAGAGGCCTCTGTTAAATCCCCTTCCCTTTTTTTGCTTTCTCATTCTCAATTGTGATACAAGAGGAATCCCAAAGGGAAGAAAGTGGCCAGACTAGGGTCTTCAGGAGGAGATGGTGAGAGGTTGGTAAGAAGGAGACAGGTGTTGTTCCACGGAGGAAAGAAGCCTCTGGAAGCACCCCCCTACCACCCACCCACCAGGGCAGGGGCTCACCAGACAGGCGCTTGAAGGGTACATTCATGCCATGGTGCAGCCGGAAACTGCAGGCCGTGCTGATCAGCTCAGAGATGGCGCTGGCTGCCTGCTCGTCATTCTCAAGATCCCCAGATGACTGCACACAGACGGAGGAGGGAGGGGGCAGAAATTAAGGCACAAAATTGGGAAGGAATACCACACAGTCCCTTTGGCTTTTGTACTCGTAATGTCTCCCTCTCCACTTTCCAATGCCCCCGGATCACTCAGTTTTGGAAAAACCAAACTAAAACCTCCCTATGGTGTTGTCACTTTCATGTCATCCTGTTTCTTATCCTTACACTACTGGGCTTCCTCTGATGAACAGCGACTCATCCACCTCTTTACTAACTGTTCTAACCCCTTGAAACTGGATTTCCCATTTTGTCCCCCACCTATTTGATAAAACCACATTGTCCCAAATCAATGCCTGTCCACCACCTACTTGTTAAAGGTTCCACCTTTTTTCTCAGTCTTCCCACTTGTTGCCCTGTCTACAGAAACTGAAACATAAACATCCCCTTTGTTCTTCAACTTCCCCCTCTTCCCATCCCTTGTGTAAGTGATGTGACAGTGGTCTGGGCTTCCTCTTTTCTGGTGACTGTCTCACTTCCTTTTCCCACCCCTTCAATATGGGCCTACCATTATGTTAAGTTTATTAGCTCCCTTTGCTCTCTCAGACATTCTGTACGTCAGTTTCCTCATCTGTAAATTGGGGACAATAGTACTTACCTTATGGGCTTGTTGTGAGGGTTACCTGAGATAATACTGGGGACCTGCTTAGAGCAACTCCTAGTAACATATTAACTGCTATCGTTCTACATGAAACTCAGTGTCGAAAGTTGGGTCATCAAAACTTCCTTTATCCACCTCCCTCCCAAACAACTTCCTTTCTTGATTTCCTGCTTGTTAAGGTGTCCCTATTGCTCTAGGCTTCCGAGTTCAAAGTCTTACTGGATGGAGAAGTATCTCCTCTGTTACCTCTATCTAGTCATTACCAGGATATATTGATTCTACCTTTAAAATTTCTTCTCTCCTTGTTCTTTCTCACCAGCCCAGGCATACCCACATTACTCCCCTTCCAGCCCATCTTCATTTTCACACCACTAACAATCTTGTCCAACCATTTCACTGGGCCATGTTTCTGTTCAAAAAACCTTCAGAGCTCCTCTTACCGTCAATATTAAGTCCAAATGCATTAACCTGGCCGTGAAAGCCCTCCACAAGCAGATCCTTTCCTTACTATATCCTCTTCTTCCCCCAAACCTTTCCAAATCTTTTCACCATAAACCCATCACCAGTTCAGACAGGCTAGTGTCATACTCCTGAAAATATGTTCACCTCCCAGCCCTGAATATTCTCCTTTTTTCTCTCTCATTCTCAACCATTTGTCCTTTAAGCTCAGTTGAATTCCCACATTCAAGAGTTTCCTCGCCATAACACAAGTTATAACACGAAGGGTTGAATCCTTCATATTCTGGACTCCTTCGGTAGTCTTTACCATTTGCATTGCTTCCAACCTTTAACCTTAAGACTTGTCTCTCTAGCTAAAGCAAAAGCTTCTAGAGAGCTAACACTATATTGTACTATGGAGCAAAATACAAAAGACTCTTTCAAGAAATACCAAATAAAAACATACTTGAGAAAAACTCTGGTAATATCAGTTATCAACAAACCTGTAACTAGTTGCGGGACTTTGGTGGTTAGTAAACCTTTTTTATCTCAGAACAGTTGGGCGACTAAGATTCCAGAGATTTATTTAATTGATGACTGAAAGCTTGCTATATGGCAGGCAGAACACCAAGTACAGGCTAAGAAAAGAAGGGGTTACGGGCCATGTGTACTTAGGGGCCCCCTCCCTTTCCCAGAACGCACCGCCAGCACTGCACCTTCACTCAGCACCAGGTAGCCGAGCTGGTCTGGGATTCGCTCCAGCCCCTGGGTCAGTGCAGAAGTCTAGGGGGTAGAGATGCAAGCAGTGAGAAGGATGCTCTAGGATGGCCCTCAACAGTGATCCTCCAGGGCTTCCATCTGCCCTCACTCTCGGTCCCCGGGATCCCCTGACCTTCCACATCCCAACTTTGCTTACTCTACGGGGCCTTCGCATCCACACTGACCCCTCCCCGCAACCCCTTCGTACCCCGCCTCTGGCGCTAGCCCCTGAACACCCTCCAACAGATCCTTCAACGTGGCCACCCCTCCCATTTCCATTCCCTCGCCGTCCTGGGTCGGACTGGAGGTGAGGGCGGAGTGCACGCCCAGAAAGGGGCAACCAGGGACAGTGGGACCAGAGAGATTGGGGAACAGGGACCTTGAACCCCCGGCATATACTCCCGCGCATGCGCCCTCACTCACCATCGCAGCCTTAGGTGCTTGAGGAGCTCCCTACCAGATAGGTAGCTTCCGGCTCCAGGGCCACGTCACGTGCTCCCCCAGACAGTCTCCTCCCACTACTTTGCGCTACCGACCTTTAGCTCTGTCCCCACCACGCGGATTGGGCCGTAGCTACGTCATCAGACTTAGTCAGCCAATGCAGAGCGCCGCCTCCCGGAGACGCACGCGGATTGGTCACTACCCTCTGTGACACCCATCTCCCCGCCCCTCAGTGCCAGAGCGCGAGGAGGAGGGGAGAGCGTGGCGGAGGGGGACGGCCTGAGTGGGGCCGGGAGGGGCGGGATGGGGGAGGGCAGGCTGAGGCAGAACCGCAGAACGCCGGGTTCTTCCTGAGCTGGAGTGGCCGCCAACCCGTAACTTCCCGGGTTTGTCCTCACCCTAAAACGGGAGAATAAAATGAAATTACGTGCAATGCATGGTAAAAGCTGTTCAAATGCTACTGTTATGCCTACTTAAGGCAGCTCTCTGTTGAAGTCACTTTTGTTCCCAAAGTAGTTTTTCATCCCCAGGTTCAGTGAGGAACCTTGTGATGGTGAATTGAGTCCTCAACGCGGCTGCAATACTGAATAATCTCTGCCGGGAAAAATTAGAAACAGTACCTCGGGGTCACTTTAATATGTATGAGCACCACAAAATACATGTAAACATAGGACATTTTTTGTATTAATTTATATAGTTTCTAGATCTGTTGCAACACTAATGTGACTAGGTGGTGTTGGTGAAGTAAAATGAAGACTGACTCTAGAAATAAAACAATAAATACTTGTCCGGGCGTTTGGCAGTTCCTCAACAAGTTCAACATAGAGTTACCAGAGTTACCAGTTCAACGTAGAGTGACCATATGACTAAGCTATTCCATTCCTGGATGTGTATCCAAGAGAACTGAAAACGTGTCCACACAAAAGCTTGTACATGAATGTTCCCAGCGGCACTATTCATAATAGCCCAAAGTGTCCTTCAACGGACAAATGGATAAATAAAATTTGGTTTATCCACACAATGGAATATTATTCAACCCAACAGCCAGAGTGCTCGTTTTAAAAGTGATAGGTCATTCCTCTGTTTAAATTCATTTCACTCAGAACATGCATTCTCAATGGAATGAAGTACTGATACATGCTGCAACATGGTCGAACCTTGAAAACATTATGCTGAGTGAAAGAAGCCTGACACACAAGGCCACGTATTGCGAGATTCCATTCATATAAAATGTCTATACGAGGCCAATCTATAGACAGAAAGCAGATTAGTGGTTGCCAGCGGCTTGGGGGTGAGGGAGGAGGAAATGGGGAGTGACTGCTAACGGGTGCAGAGTTTCATGAAAATGTTCTGAAATTAGATAGTGGTGATGGTTGCACAACCTTGTGAATGTACTGAAAATCACTGAATTGTGTAGTATGAAATGGTGAATTTTATGGTATGTGAATTATATCTCAATTAAAGAAACGAGGTGCTGTTGCTTGCGGAGAAACAGATAATTAAAGAAGGTGGATGCCTTTTTTAAAATGAGGCAAATTTATAATATAAAGTATAATTAAAGGACGATGTAGAGAAAGTTCTGTGAAAATGCTTAATTTTCAGGGTCTTCCCTGGCCTTAGATATTGATGACACTTTGTAGTACCATTTTCTTTGCACTTACTGTTTAGAGTTTCATCCATACATTTACCTAATCCTCTTGTTAACAATCCTGTAATTGTATCCCCATTAACCACCCTGGAATAGTATCCGCATTTTGCAGATGAGGAAGTGCAGAGAGGTTGAGCCTTGCTCACCCGCACACCTCTGGCAAGTGGCAGAACCAGCAGTCTTAAGTATCCTGATGCTGAGGCCAATGCTCTTCCATTGCTCTACGGGCCAGCTACATCTGATTTTACCTCGAAACTTCCTGCTCTCGGTTTTAGTGACACAGAGTAACCCTTAGCAGAACAATGTTCATCAGCCATTTAGAATTATTTCCTTTTCACAAACAGCTTGAATCACACCACTCATGTAGAGATCAAAGTTTCTTGCTTTTTCTTTCAACAAGAATTTGTTGAGCACCTTCTATGTGTCAGACACTCTTCCTGGAATTGGGGGTACAGCAGTTAATCAAAACAGGACATATTTTACTATTTTCAAGGAGCTGTGACAGAGAGGAGGGGTGAGGCAGACAATAATAAACAGATAAGAAAATAAATTGTTCAGTGGTGAGAAGTGCTGTGAAGAAACAGAGTAGAGTTTCATTTACATCAAGTGCAAAAACATGCAAAACAAAATAATGTATATATGCACATATATTTATTTATGGCAAAATGATAAAGAAGATCAATGGAACGATTTTAATTCTAAGTCTTTCTCTGTCTCTGTGTCTTTCTTTCTCTGTACAATCTTTTAAAAAATGAAGTTGGTCCTGTGAGCCAGCAATTTCACTCCAAGGTATATGCCCAACAGAAATGTGTACAATGTTCAGCCAAAGGCATGTACTGGAATGTTCATAGAAGCTTTAATCTTGATAATGAAAAATTGGAAACTATTCAAATGCCCACCAATGGTTGTATGGATAAATAAGTTGTGTCACATTTACACAATGGAACACTCTAGAACAATGAAACTGAATAAACTAAAATTATACATAATGACATGAATGAATCTCATAAACTTGATGTTGAGTGAAAGAAATCAGCCATTAAAAATACATTCTGCATGATTTCATTTATGTAAAATACAAAAACAGGCAAAACTAATCTATGGCAATGAAACTGAATAAACTAAAATTATACATAATGACATGAATGAATCTCATAAACTTGATGTTGAGTGAAAGAAATCAGCCATTAAAAAATACATTCTGCATGATTTCATTTATGTAAAATACAAAAACAGGCAAAACTAATCTATGCTGTTAGAAATTAGGATAGCGGGTAACCATGGGGGGAAGGGTTGAGGCTGGACAAGAGGGGTGCTTATGTGGGCTGGTAATGCTCTGTTTCTTGATCTGAAAGCTGGTATTGTGCCTGTGTTCAATTTATAAAAATTTAGTGAACCGTGCACTTATGGTGTATGAATTTTTTTCTGTATGCTTATTACACTTGAATAAAAAGTTAAAAAAACAGGGCTAGCTGGTTAGCTCAGTTAGCATGGTGTCATAACACCAAGATCAAGGGTTCAGATCCCCATACCAGCCAGCTGCCAAAAAAAGATAAAAAGTTGGGGAAAAAAATTGAATAAGAGGATATAGATGGTCAGGGTGGTGGTGGTGATGGGTGTGCTATTTTGTATCAGGTGGGCAGGATCTTCCTCTCTGAGGAAGTGACAGCTGAGCAGAGACTGCAGGGAGTGAGCCATGCAGGTGGGTGCTCATTTTGTCTTAGATTATGGGTTCCTGGAAGAAAAGGACCTGGTCCACCTTTTAAATTCCAGCGTCTAGCACATTGCTAACCTACAAATTTAATTTTTTTTTTTTTCTATTTTGTACTCTCAGTAACTACCGGGATTTTTTTCTGGTTTTTGGAGACTTTTTCTTTGGTCTCATGCTCTCTAACTGCTTTTTGCCCTTCCACAGTGCTTTCCTTTTTTGAAAAGCAGGGAACAAATCCTAACATGTGAGACAACCTGTTTAAGTCCATTCAAACAGCAGAGCTGGCCTCCTCCTTCCTGTCCCAACACTTCTTCTTTCAGCCAATACCTCCTAGTACAGCCTGACTGGAAACACACACACATTTAGTTCCCCACTCATTACTTTCTCCCAACACACATACCTTGTTCCACAAATACTTAAGGGGCTGATATCTCTAGTGTAGCACTTACAACATCTACCGCAACCCTTACTGCTTATCTTACTTAAAAGCTGAGGAGCTTGTGGGTCAGGGCTGTGATGCCTTCAACATTTTATTCTCCAAGAACATTGCTATTAAACCATAATCTTCAATAAGTGCTGAGTTAACATGTCAGAATTAAGAGAACCAGGAAAGGCGGGTTTGGGGTTGGGAAGTCTGCCAATGGCAGTATGACGGGGTAATAGTTGGTACTAGGAAAATGAGAGAGAAGGAGGTTGTGTGTGAGAAGCAAGGAGGTCTAGTTTCAAAGCAAAAACAAAACAAAACCCCCAAACAACAACAAAAATAACCTGTATTGAACAGAAAAGTGTTATGTGAGGCAGCAAAGACCAAATACACAAAACTAACAGAAACAAGCCATAAGTTAACCATTGTGTCAGGGTTGTCCTGAGAAACAGAACCAATAGTGTCTATCTATCTATCTGTTGATTGATTTATTTTAGGAAATTAGCTCGTGCAATTGTGGGGGCTGGCAAGTCTAAAATCTGCAGGGCAAGCTGGCAGGCTGGAAATTCATGTAAGAGTTGATGGTGTAGTCTTGAGTCCAAATTCTTCAGGGCAGCAGGCTGGGAACTCAGGCAGAGTTTTTAATGTCATGGTCTTAAGGAGAATTCCTTTTTCTTCAGGAAACCTCAGTTTTGTCTCTTAAGGCCTTCAACTGATTGGATGAGGTCCACCCACATTATGGAGGCTAATATGCTTTATTCAAAGATTTAAATGCTAATCACATCTAAAACAATACCTTCACAGGAGCATCTAGACTGGTGTTTGACCAAACAACTAGGTGCCATAGCATAGCCAAGTTGACACATAAAATTCACCACCACGGCCACAAAACCCAAAGAGAATGGGTGCCTGTCTTAGTCTGTTTTGTGCTGCTATAACAGAATACCACAGGATGGGTAATTTATAGTGAACAGAAATTTATTGGCTCACAGTTTTGGAGGCTGTGAAATCCAAGATCTGGCATCTAGTGAGGGCCCTTCTTGCTGTGGAGGAGGGTGGTACGGCAAGAGAGTGCAAGAGAGGGCTGAACTTGCCAGTTTATAATGGCACCGATCCCCCCCCTGAGGGTGCAGCTCTCATGGCCTAATCACCTCTGAATACTTTTACAATGACAATTAAATTTCAACATGACTTTTTTTTGGGGGGGGTTAAACATTCAAACCATATCAGTGACCCTTTGCTCTGCTGCAGAATTAATTAGGATGGTCACGGGAGTTCTCTTTG